TTTAAAATCTTTCAGTTGCACATGAGTAGGGAGCATTCCTTTAAAATTAAAGCCTTCAGCTTTTACTGTTTCCGAGTTAACAGTTTTCCCATCAAAAATTTCACGCGTCCATACGTGAGTACCGAACGCTTTTAAGGAGCTGAATTTAAAATCTTTTGGTCACACATAACTAGAGGACATTACCCTAAAGTTTCAGCTTTCTAGCTTTTTTCGTTCCTGGGTTAGTGATTTTCGCGCCAAAATTTCCACGTGCCTGTACTTGGGCCCTGGGTGCTTTTAAACACTTGTTTTTGGTACTACATGAGTAGAAAACATTCTTTTAGTTTCAGCTTTCTAGCTTTTCCCGTTGCCGGGATAGTAATTTTCGCGCCAAAATTTCCACGCGCCCGTATGTGGGCTCGGGCGCTTTTAACCACCTGATTTCGCTCTTGTATTAGTGGGGAACATTCCCTCAAAGTTTCAGCTTTTTAGCTTTTCCCTTTCTCGGGTTAGTGATTTTCGTGCCAAAATTTTCACGTGCTCGTACGTCTGCCTCAGGCGGTCTTAAGGAGCTGAGTTTGAAAACTTTTGGTCGTGCATGAGTAGGGGATATTCCCCCAAAATTTCAGCTTTCTAGCTTTTCTCATCTTCGAGTTATGAATTTTCCCGCCATAATTTTCACGTGCCCGCACGTAAGCCCTGAGTACGTCTGGGCAGCTGAATTTGAAATCTTTTTGTCGCAGACGGGTAGGGAACACTGCCCCAAGGTTCAGCTTTCTAGCTTTTCTCGTTTCCGAATTAGCAATTTTCGCGCCAAAACTTTCACTTGCTCGTACGCGGGGCCCAGACGTGCGTGAGAGTTGATACCGCGGTCCTGGGGTGGCACTTGGTTGGGGGACATACTGGCAAAATTTCAGCTTCAAAGCTTGCGTGGTTGGCGAGTTGAAATACCCGGGCAGACGAACACACATACACACACACACACTGGCAGGGTCGTCGCAATATGCGTTTTTGCTGCCTGTTGCAGCGCTCTAGCGCTGCACGAAAAACGCATAAATAGAGCTTCATAATTTCAAATGGACAACTGAATCATTATTTTACTCAATACGGTTTTACAGCCTAATCGAGGTATTTTTTTACAAAAACAGCTGCAACACCTATCGATTCTGCAACACCAATTCACACATTTAGTGATAATGATTAAGTCTGCCTTGAGTGCATTGACATCTCTGGATATTGCATGCCGCCACAGAGAGTCATGGTGATTTCCCCCACATTGCCTGGCGACATGCAATGACCACTAGTTTGCCGATATGGAATTTTTTATTGCTTTTAAGTACACCAACGCACTAAATACTCTTAGATTCAGGTCCCTCCAGCTCCATTACTCAGCAATGCTCTCTATCGTTTAAGCTCAGCCAGGGAAAAGTGTGCAGTGTTCTGCTAAGAGCTGTCAAAATCCTTTGACAACAACTGTTGGTAAAAAGTTTAAGCTGATGATAAGCCAAGATACCAGCTGTGCTATAACATTAAGGATCCATGCCGATGGTTCAGGCGAACGCGGTATTTCAGAAATGAACTAAGCAATGTGTAATTTAGTTCTGCACGCTATTTTCTAGCGCGGAGCGCTTATGGCCGTATATCTGAAGCAACCGGAGCGAGCGGATTTCTCCCGAAAATACCGGGATTTTACTTATCTAAATATTAAATTTTATCCATATTCTATCTATGAATTTCTTAATCTATCTTTATTGATAAG